TTTAGTCTGAATATCAGTGAGTTGCATGATGTATGGATATCGTCGCTGTATCGCCTCGACATCATGGTGAAAACAAAGGCCAAAAACTCTCAGAAAACGGTACCTTGGGATGGCTGTTGACACTCCCCCCCCCCTGAACAGTGTAACAAGATTACCCCTACGTATGCAACATACAAGTTAAGTTAAGTTTGTGCTGTTTTCTCGATTTTTAATAGCTATTTTCACCGGCATTTCGGTTGGTGTTTCACAGCAGCTAGCGCAGAGCCTATAGAAATACATCGTAGAGTGGTGTGCGTCTTTAATAGCAGCGTGGAGCGTCTTGTGACTTCGCTCCGCCCGAGGATTTTGATAGCTTTGCCAAATGCGTTGAAGAAAGAAGCAAAATAATTCGCTGTTGCTAAATTGATTCTAAAGTGTGAGGGCATTGTCACATACACAAAGTCCTAATGAAATACTTCAAGATGATAGTGGAGTGCTTCGCCAGAACATTCACCTTGACAATTCAAGATGGGGAATGCCAAAATCCAAAAAGTTTAGTGAACTTCTTTGTGTCAAACCTTGATGGCAGTCATGTTTGTTTGTTATTATTAGAGCACGCTCATGCGCGAAATAATTCCATATTTGGAATTCAAATTTCCTAATATGGTAAGATGAAAATACCCTGTAAAATACTGCAAAATTACGAAACGCTGTAACGTATGACGTTACGGTGACAGATGTATAATAATAAATAATATACAATCTGTATTTGTTGTCAAGACATGATAGCCAATATGGTATTCTGATTTCTGAAATGATGTAATACAATAAACACAGTCTGTTAGGTTTCAATATTTGTTTATGTAACATCTTCCTACAGGTATACTCCCACCTAAAATAGTTGAGCAAAATATTTTACTTTCTTATAATATTCTCAAAATTACATAAATTTGTTATGTTTAGACACACAGACACACAGACACACAGACACACAGACACACAGACATAATACAACACTACTTACAGTATGTGTTAAAGGCTACTGTAAAATGACTAATTTTCACTGGGTTTAAATTTCACTGATTTACCATTTCAGCATATTCAGTGGGTTTTAAATTCATGGTTTTATCATTTAGATAATGTGTTCTATGCTCAATTTTACATATTCACTGGGTTTTAATTTAGCCTATTTTCCAGTCAGCGAAATAAGCAAAATTAAAACCTTGTGAATAATTAATCCTTTTATAATACTAGTATTAAACAAATTGCTATGTCAGTTAATAGTTGTGACTGCAACATAGTCAGCCACATTAACTGTAAGACTGGAGGCGGCGAGGGAGAGGGGGAGGAGGCAGTTACCTTAAAAGCCAATGGCTCCATCTGATTGGTTGTGCTCTCTGTAGAAAAATGAAAAATATACATTATTTGACAATTTAGTAGAATATGTTATTTTTTCATGTTCTGTCAGTTGGTCCATTTTAAAATGTGTTTTAAAACTCAAAATTTAAAGAATGATATGGCTATCAAAGGAAAGAAAATGCAAAGGAGGTTGAGTTTTGTATCCACTGATAAGTTGTGCAATGCATTAAGGGAGAGAATCTTAATTGGGCATTCCCTGAGCATGTAAAGCAGATGTGCAATGCATCATGGGAGACAAATTCAATTTTGCATCCACGAGGCATGTTACAGATTATATCACAATTAAATACGGAAAAGAAGATCAATTTTGCATTTTCTGAGCAAAATACTGGCAACAAATTGTCACCAAACAAAATACTTTGACCATAGAAACCAATGCAAAGATGAAATGATAATTTGGTGTTTTTCAAAAGATTTCAGAGACTTTCATTTCTAGACATTGTCAAGTGATACAATTTTTTTTTTTAATTTCCAGTATTTCAATGGAGAGCTCGAAATTTCATCACCGGTAATTTCCTTTTCAATTCTCTCAAACCTATATTTTCTATCTGTCAAAACCACTCCATCTGTACTGGCGGATATAATAAGGTATATGAGCAGCATTGGCAAGTGAAAGAATTGGCAGATGTAGATTATGAGCAGAGAACATTGAAAACCTAATAATTTGTTAAAAAAAAAAAAATTACCTGTAAATGCGTGTATCCTGGCATCAAAATATGAACTTCCCTGAAATGGAAAAATTACATTATCAGTGCATGTGAATCATTTCCTGCATAAAAGACAAATTTATTAGTGTTACCGTAAAATTTGTATTAGAAGCTGCATCCCGAATATAAGTCGCACTCATTATATTTGAACAAATGAGAACCAAAAAATCATAATTTCTCATATGTGTAGATGCTTTAATAAAAACCACATCCCCTCTGTTGCATTGTCTCATTTGAATAGAAGCCGTGGTTTCGAACACAGATTTTACAGTACTTATTAAATGATCAGTAGCTCGTAAGCACCACAATCGTCACATTATGCTGTGTTCAACATGCATCTCATGTGGCATATACAATGCGAGTAAAATACATTGTTTTTTGCTACAAAGCACGTTTAAAGCGAGAGGGTCGTCACATGCGCAGGCACGAGAATTGAGTCCCAAGTGACGATAACAACACACGCTAAAAACACAAAGGCTCATGGGTAGATGCTTGTTTGTAAACAATGACACGCTAAGGCCGACTGACATATGTGCAGGTGAAGACTCCCTCGCTTTAATACCGAAGGTTTAAAAAAAAATTGTCAGTGGCTGTTACCCTCTTGGGATATACATGTACACCTGGATACCAAGATTACATTGAGTATATGTTTCATATTTTGTGACATCGCGATTTTTCGAAACTCCACATTATACCTGTTTTCTGTGAAACTGTACAATATTGATAACTGCCAAAGACTCAAGTATATTGGGAACCAGCATTATAAACAATGTTAATGTTATAACCAGTTACTGGTAGCATAGGGATTGTCAAATCCTACTTGAGGCTGAACATCACCCTGGGTAAGTGTGCCACAGACTCAATGGAAATGCCAATTCCACTGGTCGAGATTCATTCACTAACGAACACGACTTTGGGGAAACCTTGGTTATGGTCCACAGGTGCTTGTGTTCGACTGAGCCTGGTAGACACCAGGATAGCGCATTAAATTGCCATTCGATAGGGAGATGGCACACAGCCGTCATATAGACCCAAACATGAATATGACTTCTGTGTCAAAAATTGTGTCAGCGCTAGCAATTGCAATTTGCACATACAAAAAAAAAATCGAGAGAGACAACAGCGACACTCAATGTTCAGAACTGTCGTCTGGCACATAAAAAACAATGAATGATGTGAATAAAATGATAAGTTTATTTGTTACCAAATATAATTAAAATTTTTTGTATACATTCAACCCCCCCCCTCTAAGCACTAATATGCAATGAATTGTGGGTAATTAACAAAGTAGATGACACTCACATTTTAGCTCTGTTAACCAGCACTGTTATGAAGTCACGGAGTAGATTTTTCAACAATGGCAGTCCGTCTCGTAACCATATTCTAAAATCAGTGGCACACTGTGCAGGGCAATTCAGAGAATGATCAATTTGTAATTTTATGATTATTTCAAGCATTGACATGCTCATGCGAAAAAAAGGTGATCTATTCAATGTATTTTCATGTTTATTACTCGATCACCATATATTCAAAATTACGAGATACCGTAAATAACATAAACCATATTTGCTCTACTAGTAGTGCATGTGCTTTATAATACACGAATTACAAAGGTAGTAATAATAATAATAATAATTGTATTTATTGAAGTCGTATCCTAAAAATGGACATAGATCAAAGTACAATAAAGCATGGTTGTCATTCCATGTCAGAAAGAATCAGAAGGTATTTTTATGGTCAAAATAAGTAATATTTTAATAATTCAGGATACAATATACTTATTTTGGTTTATATGTAACTCTATTGGAGATGTACATCACATACATTCTCTAATCACAGCTAATGACCTAAATAGAAATGAGTTTTATAATACTCACCTGGAGACAATATACCAAAATAAACAATATACAGAATAACGACGTGAAAACAATATCTCAGATTATGTGTGACCTTATGTTGCCAAATCTGATACAAACACACAAGTCAATATTATATACATAATAACCTGAATTTGATATACTGAACTTTAACTCTGCATATAATGACCTGACCAGATAACTCACCTGGTCATTACGACTTCGTCCAGTGTGTAATTTACCGGCTGGACTCCCTATCAATTCTTTTAATCGTCTTTCGTTTGCTGTATGAATATCTTCATCTCCGGCTTGGATCTGGAAATTCCCACTAGCCCACTCTTCACCTACCTGCATGAACACAAATTATTAAACAATTCTTGTTTATAGAATTCCCACATTAGAGAGGAGTTCAATCAAAAAAGCACCTATCGGTTTTCAATTAATTTTCAATCTGACGTTCAGTTGTAACAATGAATATTTCCTTAGAGTACTAAAGACAAGAAATCACAGAAACTTTTGAGATCATCTCGTTCTCTGACATTCCTTTAGGCTGATTTGAGAGAAAAATAATAATATATGTCCAATCCATTTATGAAAAATTGTTCTGTTCTTGGGGGGATGGGGGGGGGGGGGGTAATGATAATGATTTCAATGCATCTGGAACTACATTTTAAGAAATAAAAAAAAAAAAAGAATCATGGACATTTTATGACAGTCTTTGTAATATGCCTATGATTCTCTGTTTCAGGCCATGTGTGCACTATAGTTGCGTAGAACATATCAGACCAAAAGCTGCCTTTCTTATTGGTTGACAGCTTACAAGTCATACTACTCATTAGCATATTTATCACCTCAAAAACGTGGTGACAACTATAGAGGGTGCTGCAGAACAGACCAGCCGTGGTAATTTTAGCGTCAGAATCTACAAATTCGTTCTAAAGGAATTACATCATTTAAAAACAATAAAATTGCCACAACAGAGCCAGTCTATAATAATATGCGCTATGCTAATATATATATCTGTGATGCAGCATTTGAATCAAAACTGAATCCTGTTCACAACATTTTTGTAACACATGCCTAGCCATAAATTATTCCAGTTATTGGTTACCTAAGCAACCGCATCCATAACCTTCATATGCATTAGGAGCCCATGCATCATTACCTTTTCCAATCCATTATGAATGGCTTGCATCTCTTCCATCGTGACTAAACCCACTTTCTGCAGCGCCTTCACGTAAGCTTGGCTGCCTTGTATATCAGCTTTCCACATTCGCTTGTCGAAATCAATGGAGGCGTTGAATTTCTCCATGATGGGGTCAGTGACGCCGGTGAATCTCCCGCCCCATAGTTTCCCAGCCTGCAATGCATTAATGAATATATTATCTCCACAATGTGACACAAGACAAAACAGATCAAAGTTGATATCACCAGTGTGATATTAACAATATAATGTAGTTTTCTTTCATAATCAGTTAAATTGAACCTACAGTAATGAATATCTCTTTAACGTAAAATTTGCTAAATTAAAACCCAGTTCATATTTCACATTCTACTACATGGATCCAGTTGTCTTGAAAAATTAGCCTAGAACATTTTGCCTAAAATGGCAACTAGCGTCAAGAGACATTTCAAATTATTTGCTATATTTTGAGTGTAAAACAGTAAATTTAACAGAAAAATGCATAAAAATGCCATATGTGCAAAATAAATCAGTTATCAAGAAAAATTATAGGTAGGTTCATTCATATCACTGTTGTATGAATTGCATGAAGTATTTGCGGATTGGCTTCGCTCGCAGTACCACATGTACACATGTGTTTGTACACTCTTTGTCTGAAATGATTGAATAAGATTTAGATCATCTTAAAAAAACCAGCAAATATCTGATATCCAGTGAGCATCTGAATCACTGCAGTAATTGATGGGGGTATACTACTGGAATGATATGCAATGAAAACCCTGTTTGAAGTCACACACACCAATTGTGAGATGATATCCAAATCCTAAGATGAAGTATATTTCCTAAAATAATGTGCAATGCATACGAGTTCGTAAAAGAAATAGTTATTGATTGCATCAGGTCATTTTTTTTTGCAAAGAGCACGTATTACATTATGTTTTGTCATTTTTAACAGCTAATAACTTTGCTCATTTCTGTTCCTGCAATTGAACCTTAATTCTCACGGTTATCAACAAGTGCCTAAGCCATTATTTGATTCTCTCGTGATCAGTTTTAACAACAGTCATGTGAATTTCATGCACGGTGCACTGTTCATCGCATATCATCAATACATTAATTATCCTTATTTTAAAAATCGTTGATACAACCAAATGTCAACAATTCTGTTGTTGAGAATATGGTCTCTGATTATTAGTATTAAACATGTACAAATATTAATTTTGAAGTAGATAAATATGATAGAAATGCTTATAAGTGTTAATTCTTGTTTCTTTATTATCATGTGATATTTTTAACTGTTATCCTGCCAGCGCCATGTACTTTTACACTTTGACCAGATAAGTGTTATATTGGCCCATAGAGGTTAGAATGTTTTTTTCCTGGGAATCAGTCAGAATTGTTCAGTCTCAAATCATCCAGCCACCCTCAGCCAACCTGTGCAGTCAAATATCTTGCAATGAACAACAACACCAGTCTATATGTTGCTACATACAAGTGTTGTTACCGGGTATTCATATATGCATAAGGACACTTTGATCTACGAGTCGTGCCACACTTCTGAGTCAGGTACAGGGTCAACTGCTTTCGAGCTGATTCGACCACACTTTCTCACTGTTCAAAGTCAAACTCCTGCAATAGAAATAGTCCATTTCTGCTTGAAGCAAACGTTCTGGTGAACACCCACGACGTTTTACAGAAAGACTGGGGGTTTCAAACAGGTACAAGTGGGATGGCGATGATGCAATCACGCCGTCAATCACACTCGAACCCAGCACCATCTTAGACTAGTACCCATACGGAATACATCTCACGCACTCACCTCCTCCATCGTTCCAGCTGTATTGGACGCCATCTTTCCGGTTTGTGGACAGTGGCAATCTGAAAGTCTACGTGACTTTTCCCCGACAACTGGTGAAGTGTTGTATCTAATTTTAGCTCGACAATCAGCCAGTTAAATTTGCCGGTAAATAGCACTCACAGTCGAGCTTCCAAGATTATTTAATTAAAGCGCCCTCATCGACAGATTTTATTAAAACCTTCGTTTTAAACGATGATTTGTTTTTTCAAAAAAATTACGATTTCTGATTTCTCGCTGCATAAACTTGCTGCAATTATCTGCTATAACAAAAGTAAAGCTTCACCACTAGAGGGCGTTTGAAAAAACAATATTGTAATTGGCCTCGGTCGAGAGAAACCAATTTTGTATTTACAAAAATATTTCCTCTAAATACAATATTATTTTACGTACTGATATAGAACAAACAAAAAAACTGATGAGTTTGCAATAAATATTTACACAATTTCAAAAGATTATGGAAAATAACATAGCCATAGCAAATAAATTTGAAGAGCAAATTTTTAAAACCACAGAAAGTAATTTATTTTTACTTTTATTATACTGACATTTTTTCTTTTATTTTCTCTCTTTTGAATTTTTTTGTATTTCTTTGTATTTATGTTCTTTACCATACAAAAACCCTCTTTTTCAGTCTAAGCAACAAAATATGCCTAGTCTTACAGATTTTGATGAATATTACATAATATCCCTGAAATTCAGAAAGCACATGTGTAATCCTTTACCAGCCAATTGCCCCCCCCCCCCTTTCCGATCTACTACAAGTCATTAAGTTATTGTCTTGCTGTGTATGTCTGGATTTTGTGTTAACGTCGCATGGGACCCATAACAAACATGATGCAACACAGCAACCATCGTCCTTTGATATGAGAATTAAACTAGGCCAGAACTATACAAAAACGTCTTTTATTCACAGATGAATACAATATTCAAGTACATGTACAACAAAACCATAGTTATACTTTTCAGATCAACAAGGAGGACATCTTGGATCAAACCACCCAAGTTATATTTTTCAGATCACCAAGGCAACCATCTTGGATCAGATCACACAAGGATAGCTATGCCTTTCAGATTGATGAGGCAGCCATCTTGGATCGATGATAATACACGTTTTTGTCATTGTCGTGTACGGGTAAAAGTTTCAAGCTTGTTTGTACACCTACATGTATATTAAGGACACTCTTCCCAGATGGCAACCTTGACATGTAAAATTCATCTGTCATGTTTCATATCGAACACATGTAAATATTTCTGTCTCAGTCACTAAGAATTCTTCTTTATAGTGTTAAATACTTTAATTTTCGCTTGGAATTAATTTTCGCTATTTTTGCTGAAGGGATGATTCAGTGAAAATAAAATCCAGTGAATATACCTTTTTTCCTATGTTTTACCTTCAACTCATCAAAAATTAATGAAAATAAACTCTATATAAAGCACACAAAAATGTCTTTTCAGCGAAAATAAATTAAAGTTAAAATAAAGTCTTTCACAGTAAGTATTTATCCCCCCCCCCCTCTATAAATCAAGTCAGACTGATTGTCACCTGAATCAAAGTCACCACTTCTTGTTATTGTGATGCTTTGTAGTTGCTTGGAAGAACTTGAACACTTAATTAAAATTACACTTCACTTTCAAGATCCATCACAAACTATAATTTTTCGTGATAACTGATTTATTTTGCACATTTTTCTATAATTTTTGAAAAAAAATAATGTTGGTTTAATTTCTGAAAGTCAACAAAAGTGGACTCTGATATTAAAAGTTACACATTTATGAATTTTTAATTTTGTTTTGTCAAAATATTTGCTCCTTGCTATTGTACAAACAAAAACATGATTGTTCAGTATACTACAGAACAATTAATTTATAATATCTACGACAACCAGCCATTTTTTTTTAAAGTTAATGATAAATTTTAATTACTAAATTTTATTTTTTTGTAGAACGTGGCAAACTGAAAAAAAACTGTACATATGATTGACACACTAGCATACACGATCAAAAGGCAATCAACAAAAGATGTAATGCTTCTTGAACTCCAAAAAAAATAATTTTATTACTCTTCCATCTACATGTATTTTCGTTTATATAATTGTAAATTATAAAAAACAAACATTTTTAGTTTTATTTATGCTGTATTTACAAGTCTTTGGATTGAAATGCTGGTATATATACAGTTGTGTAATGATACAGACTGAATCTCGTCTCTATAGCAACTATTGTAAACAGTGCATTTAATACTTTTGTGCGTATTTTATGCCAAATTAATTTAAATATCAAGAATATTACAACAAATAATGAGAAACAGAAATAATTGTGGTTCTCTTGATTCTCTGTTAAACATTATCAATATTGATGGTACATATAACCAAGCGCGCCTTCAATAAAAGTGCATGTAAACCCAATAGAAACATTTACTGTATATTGAATCATAATATTTTCTGAACAGTCAAACACCTCCATAATTTATGTTAGTGCATGTGCTATTAATAGAGTAAATACAGTACATTCATTTGGGATTACCTATGGATGTGGTTTACGGTTAATTTATCAATGTACAAATGACATTTAGAAACTTAAAATGGCAGTTAAAAAACGTTCAACCAATCACAGCATCTGTGATTTTGACCTCGGATGTGCGAATAAATATAATTTCAAAATTACCTTAGCTACTTCCAATCAGCAGCAAACTAGCCAATAGCGAATCACCACCTTTTGTTTGAATTTGAATCTACAATTTATTCTAAAAGTTTTTTTACATCCACAGGCAATCAAAAATGTGTGTATCAAATAACTACTTTCTTTAAATCACCTGCATATTCTCTTCAAAAACCAAACCATCGCCCATTTATCACGTTTACATATCGCGCATTTTGATCGCGAATTTTATTCCAGTGCTCTGGTGATCAAATAGCCATGCTATTTTACATTTAATATTAAATAATTTCCTTAACCGTTCCACCACGAGTTCCCTCTTTTCATCTCAAATTCACAAAATAGTCCCATTTATAGTCTTATAGTAAATAGCAACAATTTTTTGAGTAAAAACTGAAAAATTTATTCAAATTTTGTCTGTCCGTGCTAAAATTAGGGATCATTTTCAGAAATAATGAAGAATATAAGAAAAAAAAAAAGTGCCGAATAAATTGGGCGAGAAAGTCTAGTGGTGAAAAGGTTAAAGAAATGAACTCACAGACATAGGAGATCGTAGAAGTCATACAATGATGTTTGCTTTTTCTCAAAGTAGAGCGCTACTTTAGTGGTTGAAATGCAAATACGAGTTGTAAACGTGATAGAAATATAATTTATATAATTTATGCGTGATGCGAAATTGATATATATGTGACCGCAATGCAATAAATAAACAAGCCTAATATGGTAAATGTGTGATACAAATGTAATAAGAATGATAAGTTGTGAGAAAACCATACTGTAAGCCTTCATATAGGTAAACACTACTATCAAATGACTGAAATAAAAACAGCAAAAACATTGCCCATGCTAAATAAATTATAAATTAACAACAGCCCCGCCCCCATCACCACTACAACCACCACCATTACTACCACCCCACCCAAATAGTCACAACCAAAATACAGTGGATTCAATTATGTATGAAAAGGTAGTTATAAGCTATTTGACCTTTGACCCTTCAAGTTTTGTCACATTTCATAAAATAATCTTGCATTACTTTTTTTCATAATTTTTTTAACAATTTTTGTCAGAACCAATTGGCAGTCGTAAAGCATGTCCCTTTTTGTCCAAAATTAACAAATTATGGAAAAGTATCTTAAAAAATGTTGCACAATAATTTTAGTTGAAAAAAATCATTGCAATCCAAGGATTAATATCCAAGATGCTTATTAATATTTTTACCACAAATATTCACTCATGGTTGGCAGGAAACAAACGTTCGTCACAAAGCATTATGTCATATGATTAATTATTCATGCAGAAGTTTGAATCCGAAACTAAATAACGACAGACATATTTATAATTCGTCGGGCACTAAAATAATTTCTCCAGATCTTTGTTCAGAGAATAAACTTCTTTGAGATTCACAACAAATCACAGTAAATCACAGCAAAGTAACGCAATTTGCGTTGAACAAGTTTTAATTATCTGCACACACCGTCTTCATTTGAGTGATCCTGTCACGTGGTGTACCCAGTTTTATGATACGTGAACATTTCTATTTTCAGTAAGATCTTGTAATCGTGACAAACACTATTTAGTGTTTGCAATTTTTAATAAATACCTAGTGGGTGGATTTCATAATGTGTTCATTCATTTTATGGCAAGAAAATACAGCATAATTATCCGAGAATGCTCGTATAAAAAAAAAAAAAATTTCTTCGTTCATGATTATACTCTTGTCACACTCTTATCATACTACTATACTGTAAAATACTTTATTTTTGATTGGAATTAATTTTCTCCAAAGGAATGATTCAGTGAAAATAAAATCCAGCGAATATACCTTTTTTTTCCTATAGTTTACATTCAATCAGAATCAGAAATCAGTGAAAATAAATTACATACAGAAAACCAAAAAGTCTTTTCAGCAAAAATTAACTCCAGCTAAAATAAAGTACTTTATAGTACTGTTGTAAATTGTGTCCCCATTATCCACAACCAACATACATTTCCTGCAAAATATTCAGTAAAAATATTCTGACTTACGGTTTTGAAGAAGTTGAAATTGTAAAGTTGACGACGGACGACGACAACGACAACAGACAATCAGTAATATGAACAGCTCCACTGTGTCGACTTTGTTGACAGCGGAGCTAAAAACAAAATCTACTAATACCCTCAAAAATGAATGTAGCTACAAGAACAAGGGAGTCGTCCAATTTTTAATAACAAACCATTTTCTTGTATCCAAATTTTTTTTTAAATTGTGGATTTATCGCTTTGGAACATAAATTATGTGAAAATGAGCCACATTTTCAACTACCCTATAAAGCAAGTGTAATATTGAAATACTTGCTACAAAGTATATATTTGTTCAACTATTATACGAACTGTATCTCTCTCTTTGTGAGGACCTAGGGGTGCTAGACTCCCCTAAGTAATCGTTTATTCTTCCACTTCTCTCCCTTTCATCGCTTTTTTCCTTTTCGTTGGACCTTCGACTTAAGAACACAAAAAATAATAAAGTAACAAACTGTATTCCACCAAGAAGAAAGAAATAATTTTCCAAGTTACTGTGGTTGATGTTGCCGCCATCTAGTTTTTTCATCCAGTTTATCTTCGGTAGCGAGACCAAAAAAAGTAGTCCTGAGCCGAGGAATGAGCCAATGCCGCTGGAGAGACAGAAGAGTCCCATTATAAGACCTTGCATTGACTTGGGTGAGTTGGAATAAGCAAACTCCAGTCCTGCAACAACAACAGTAAAATAATTATTATTTAGTTATTTACTCGTGTGCATGTCGCACTTCAGTCTTTTCCAGTACATTGATAACGTCTATTCACAGCAAGATTTTCAAACAATTTTTCAAAAATATGTCTTGATGAGGAAGATAATAAAGAGAATTTATGATTGACGTAGATAGCTCATCCTCTGTTAGCAATATACATTTCATATAAGGAGTTGAAGATATTATTAGAAAATGAACAAATCTGCAAGAGGTCTACCTGTAGTACGTATATACCCGGTATATATATATATAATATCATGGACATGCATCCTAACATGTATAAAGTACATGTATGTGCCAAATTTGAATGAAAACTGACAGAGCACGCCCAAGATACCGCATAAAAAAAACAAAAACAAGATGCCTGCCAGTCGACCATCTTTGATCCAATTGCGAAATAAATCATCATGGACATGTATCCTAACATGTATAATCTATGTACCAAGTTTGAATGACAACTGACAAAGCATGTCCAAAATACAACATTTTCAAAAAACAAGATGGCTGCCAGTCGGCCATTTTGAATCGAATCGCTAAACCACTGCATGTGCATATGTCCCACATTAGGTACTAGGCACATGCAAAGAATGAACGGAATCAGTCCACAGGATTCTGAAATATGACGTTGGACAGACTGACGGTCGGACGGACAGACTCAGGAACTCATGGACGGTCGGGGACATGTATCCTAACATGTATGATCTAAGTACTAAATTTGAACGAAAACTGACAAAGCATGTCCAAAATACGACATTTTCAAAAAACAAGATGGCTGCCAGTCGGCCGTCTTTGATCCAATTGTGAAATAAATCGTCATGGACATGTAATCTAACATGTATAATCTATGTACCAAGTTTGAATGAAAACTGAGAAAGATGTCCAAAATACAACATTTTCAAAAAACAAGATGGCTGCCAGTCGGCTATTTCGAATCGAATCGCTAAACCACTGCATGTGCATATGTCCCACATAAGGTACTAGGCACATGCAAAGAATGAACGGAATCTGTCCACAGGATTCTGAAATATGACGTTGGACAGACTGACGGTCGGACGGACAGACAGACTCAGGAACTCATGGACGGTCGGGGACATGTATCCTAACATGTATGATCTAAGTACTAAATTTGAACGAAAACTGACAAAGCATGTTCAAAATATGACATTTTCAAAAAACAAGATGGCTGCCAGTCGGCCGTCTTTGATCCAATTGTGAAATAAATCGTCATGGACATGTAATCTAACATGTATAATCTATGTACCAAGTTTGAATCAAAACTGAGAAAGGATGTCCAAAATACAACATTTTCAAAAAACAAGATGGCTGCCAGTCGGCCATTTTGAATCAAATCGCTAAACCACTGCATGTGCATATGTCCCACATAAAGTACTAGGCACATGCAAAGAATGAACGGAATCGTCCCAAGGGATTCTGAGATATGACTCCGGACGGACGGACGGACGCACAGACTAACAGACAGAGACCGAATTATAAGTCCCCATTTTCGGACTTTGTCCGAGGGGGGACTAATAAAATGAAAGCTACAAATCAATTGGTGAGGTCAATGGAGAGTTGCAAAGCCAAAACTATCTGTCAGTAATCACCGTCCACCACATTTTATTAATCACTGGTGAATCTTCTAATTCCCAACTTACCTGCTACGCTAGCAAACACCTCACTAATACCAATCAACGTATACTGGGGAATCTGCCAAAATATCCACAGCTTGGCCGCCTGGTATTCCGTTCCACTGATCTCTTCAGTCCACTTGCAATCGTCATCATTCTCCCAACAATTCTTCCGTATGATCTCTAGACCTCCGGCACATATCATGGCAAGTACACTAAATATCATCCCGATCGCAATCCGCTTCAACATGGATAAATGGCAGCCACGTTTGTCTAAGCAGGGATAGATTACCCGATCCATAACTGGTATCAGTATTAGTAAAAGTACGACATCGAACAGCGTTAACCATGCTGCAGGAAACTGAGATAATAGAAACAAATACCATTACAGACGCTTGTTTCAAATGCTGCTTGCATGTACCGTTAAAGTCCTATTATAAACCGCGGTTTATATTACAATGTATCAATTTAAAAATTGGGATCAAAAGCTCAAGTTCGGGGTGCGGTTTCTATTACGTACATATTGCAATCACTAAATGGGCGTGGTCATTTTTTTCCACAACACATGCACAAAACAAACAATACACTGTACAATCTCTTGAATAGGCGTCGGGGAAGAGTGAAAGGCCTTATTTTGGTTCTAAAATAGGCGTTACGAAATGTTGAAAAATTACAGTCAATCAAAAAAAATTTCCACATGATACAAAAAATACTCAGTATTTTTAATGTAATATGCATTTATTTTTTTTAATTTTCTTGGTAACGAAAAGTAAATTCTAACAGAAGTTTCAAATAAAAACACGAATGCACTGCTTAGTAGCAAATGATCACAGAACGGTAAGCTCGATCCGGCCATGCTGCGGGTCACAAGTGAATAACTTACTTGTTTTCGAAGTGTTGATATTGGTGATTATTATTTAGTAGTGATTACAATAACGCACGAAAAATAAATTCGTTGAATTGTTATAAAATGCAAGTAAAATTCAACTTAGTTTCCCCGTAAGCGAATGATTTCAGTCACATGTAAACAGCCGATACGATATCCGCCATGCTTTTGAATGCTCACGTGACGTATTATTGACCGGATAGGTCAAGTCGCTAATTAACCAATCAAAATGCTGGAT